TTGCATTAAATCTATTTTCATGTCAGTTTGGAGTATTGAATTGGGCATCAACTCAGGGTTGTAAGTTGTTGCAAGTACCATTAGGGATATTGTTTCTCATTTTCTTGAGTAGCCTTAGTGGGCTCACAATCATACATGTAGAAGTTTGTGATGCTCTCTGGTGCAAAGAGATCGGCAATGCCAATCAGATACTTTCAACTTTGCCAATAGTCAGGGACTTCCTGATGCTAAGTTCTAATTCAACGACAGCATTGTGGGCTACAAGACAACTACTGGCTCCAGTAATTAAAATTACAAACACATAAACCTACATGAATTGAAAGACTTTATTATTAATACTGATCCACACATTGGGGAGGAAAGCAGATACATGTGGACATATATGAGCATAAAATGTTAGTTATCTTTATTGAGGGCAACATGGGGTTTTGCAGTGATATTGTTTTTCTGATGCGGTGAAGCGGTGAATAAAATCCCACCTTGCGGTGTTGTGGTGATCTCAAACCTTGCAGGGGACGATATTTCTGTTTATCACCCTACAGTGTTTGGTGAAATGAAATTATTTGCATATAGTGCTGTGGTTTCTTGTTTGACCTTCCTCAGACCAGAGATCAAAGAAACTGAACCAGCCAATTCATTTCTGTAAAAAAACTAGTTTCTGTCAGGACCCTAACTTCTTGGTTCAAACATAATTTTAATTACCACTCGGCAACATTAGCTTTTCGGGTCAACTTCTCAGTCATGGTCATGGATCTTCAAAGAAAGACATGAACAAAATGTACAGGCGACTACAAGAAAAGATTTACAGGCATCAGCAGTCTTGGCATGAAGGTAGTGACAAGTGTTGTGATGTGTTTATGTTGTGGAACAATTGCTGAGGTATAAATTTAAAGTAACGTCAAGTGTACAAGACATAAAAATCTATGGTGCGTTGACAGTGTTTTGTCAACTTTTCTGTTTTGCTACTGTGTTTGTTAATTTTTTTTGCAGTGTTACAGTGTTCAGAACCCCCCATGTCCCCCTCTCCTAATTTTGCTAGTAATGTTACATTGAAACACAGCAAGAAAGAGGAACATATCAGGGGTGTNCTTGGATAGGCGAAGACCTTCGTAAGTTCATTACTATATTTCCTACGTTGTGCAACTTATCCTTTATTGGTGGTTTGAAAGTAGATCGAAATGAAATCGTCCAGTGTTGTGATGGCGAGTCGCCTTGTTTGACTTGGTTGCGAGGCCGCTTCATGTCTTTATCTTACATTGTTTAGTTAAGTGATGATTGATATTGAGTTCACTTAGCGTTTACTTAGCGTTTGCTTGGCGGTCAACTTAGCGTTTACATTACTTACTACCTTGGGAAGTTTTTCAAGTTGTAATTCATAGATCTGGATTGATTAACTAACTAGTCCAACCGACCAAGCGATCACGAAGCAACAAATTAATTAGAATTTTTAGCTTAAATTAACGGATCCAACATTGTTCTGTGTGATAGTTATGAAGGATGCCCTATTATTTATGGAATATTTGCTTTTAGAAAGCGGCAGACTACAATAAGAAGCTTTAAAGTTAAAACAAACTGGACAGATGGCTCTTCCCAAGCCAGTACTGTTATCTCAAGTCAAGTAAGCTTAAATGTAATTATTATATGCTGTATTCTTTGTTCTTGTAGTTAACACTAACTTAATAAAACTTATTTATCTCTGTCGTTATTTAACATTAAATAACACCTGCAGATGTTACTGGTATTCGTTGTCGGTGTTTGAGAAAGTCAGCCACTCAGAGGTGTCTAACATAATATGGTGATCAGTAAGTCACTAGAGTCCCTAAATACTCCCCTGACTGGCAATGTCTGCAACCCAGCCATGAGCTTATTAGACTGTGCACTTTGCACATTCTGATTTGATTCAACTTTGTGTGTGTAAAAATTTAGAATTGCAGAACAATTTCTAAAATCTTTTTCAAGGTATAAACTGGTTTTTCAAAAATAATATCACCATTTTTCAGGAAGGCTTATTATCAGAAGATTGGCAAATAGCTAGTTGGCACAAATGAATAATATCCACTGATTATTATTTTGTTTCAAAGCAGTCACCATCTGACCTGCCAAGGACACAAGAACTCTCTCCAATTCCATCAACATCAGATGAGCATCGTGAGGATATCTTGACAGAATCTCAATCTCCTATATTTGCATATGCAGCTGCTGTGTCAAAATCAAACAAGACCCTCCACCCAGGAGAGCCACAAGATGATTCTCGTCATGTTTTAAATCAAGATGGTCTTCTGACTGATCATGATCAATTGTCATCAGCTGTGCCCTCCAGGACACCCGATGAAAGCCGAAATTCAATTATTGTGTTTGAGAGTCCACTGGCCAAACTTCAAACAGGTAAATACATGTTCCATGATATGGATAGAAGTTTTATTATTATAAGCGATTTAGCTGTAACATTAAAGTGCCTGCTTGCCATCTTTCCTGGCCTGCTATTAGTTATAGACGTGTTAATAATTAACACAGCTATAACTAATTATTAGCAATTATTCCATGAGCGTACATTGGATACGATGGTAGATAGTCTGTAAGCCAACAAGGCATGTAGCACCAAATGGATAATAGATCTGACAAACCTGAGTGGAAAAATTTATCTTATTTAAAAAAAAGCAAAACAAAACAAAACAAAATAAAGTAAAAATAAAAAATGCCCCCAAAACTACACTCACGTTTACTGTAATTTATTTGTAGAGCATGGTATAATGGCTCATATACCATGATGGCTAAGCCGATGAAAACTCTTGTCAATGACCAATTTTTCTAATGACCCATTTTTAAATAATTATTGTATTCTTCCAGGGTAATAATTTCTGAAAGTTTGTATTTATTGGTAGTTTAAAAATAACACTGCAAGTTTTTCTTTAGCCTATTCTGGGTGTTTGGTTAGTAGTTGGGAGCTGGCATGAAGAACGAGTGGTAAAAAGCAGGGGACATGGGGCTTTGCGGAGTTGGGGTGTTGATTGTTTTTCTAGCGTAGTGATGCGGTGAATAGAGTCCCACCTTGTGGTGTTACAGTGATCTGAAACCCTACGGTGTGCAATGTTTGTGTTTTTTTACCCTACGGTGTTTGGTGAAATGAAATTTTGGATCTGTGGTTTCTTGTTTGATCTTTCTCAGACCTGAATTTAGCATCTAAACTTTGTCAATCCATGCTAATTTATTAGACACGTACCTAGTGGAAAATTTTTGAGGCGTAACGTCTAAATCATGGAGCTTAAAACATATATAAAATATTGCGAAGACGGTGTTTCGTTGACTTTTCTTGTGGTGATGCCGTGTTTGTTTAATTTTTTGCAGTGTTGCAGTGTTCAGAGCCTCCTGTATCCCCCTCTAAAAAGGCAATGGGTTTTAGGGTGGGAGAGAGCATTCTTCTCAGGTCCCCCTTGTTTTGCACTTGCCTTTTTCACCTTTGCTCACTCCCATAAACTTAGAGTCTGGAACAGTCTAGTGTTTCCTTTGTTTTCAAGAGAACTGGTGGCTCAGCCAGCAAAAATAACTGTTTTATCACAGTGTATTTTACTAGTGGTTCACAGCATGAAATTACTACATTGTTTTTTTTTTTTTTGGACTGCTTTTCATAGATAGTGTAGAGAGCAGAGAACGAACTCCTAGTCCATCATCACAAAAGGTACTTAGAAAACTATTTATTTATCTATGACAGGCCTACATATATATTTACGCTGACACAAACACCACAAAATTCAACCTTGAGACTCAAAGTTCAATTTGAAGTTCATTAAGTATCTAGACCAAAAACAAAGTAGAAAGTTGGAGAAATATGAAGAGTTAAATATATTCATGGGGGATTTCAAAACACAGTATTTCTTCAAAGCCTAAGTGTCCACTTGTAGAACTTTAACAAGATGCAAATTAGATGGTGTAAAAGATGGAGGGAACAAAATCGTTTTGTAGTACACCTGTGCATTTTAGGTTTGTGTTGTTTTTAAACAAGGTAATTTTCCTACTTTTCTGATTTGCCAGTTGTTGCCAGAGAAGACCCCTCTTTCAGGTCCTGGTACATTGAAGACAAGAGCAGGTCGAAAACGAAGAAGGGATGATGCGGAACAAGCTGGGGACAAAGAAATGGAATCTTTAGAAAATGAGTATAGGAGTAAGTGGAAAAGATTTGGCAATGGTTGTTTGAAGAATGTGATTGTAATTGATTGTCCAGGTTTGGTTACTGTTCAGGGCTGAGGTACAAGTGAATTGTTAAGTAAAGGCAGGCCACAAAATATACTGGGGAGGTGGGGGTGGTGGTAACCAGCTATGGATTTGCGTCCTGTCTAGGGATGTGGCTATTCCTAGGAACTTTATGGTGCAGAGATGGTAGTGCTTTCAATAAGATTCAAAGTAGATGGCTACCCTGTACAGCCCTACCCCTCTGAGAGCAATAAGAGGCCCTCTAGAAGGCCTCTAGAGGGCCGAAGTTTATCAACTGCTTTAGAATAATTATGTATATAGCTGGTGATTCAGAAAAGAAGTGCCACCAGAGCTGTAGTGGGTGCTGGGTCTTACTAAAAGCACTAGAAACCTGGATATGCTCACAAGCAGCATACATGTAGGCTGTTGTTTGTTTCAAGCACTGAATTTAAGATCAAAATCAGATGGCAGGATTCATTTGCTTTGCACGTGATCTGAGAAATTCTATCATCACATTACTTTCAGCGTCAAATGGGGCACTCTAGCTAAAAGATGAAGTGAAAGTATCAGCTTTTTATACAAGAATGAGAGTTCCACATGATGTTATTGCCTGGGGATTCATGTTAAATTAATTACTTTTTCTTGATGTTTCTCCCTGTCAGAAAATAATTTTGTGAGGCTATTTAATGCTGATCAGGGAAGAAAGAACAGCATGTCTGAGATCACAGACCTTGATGTTATTCTCACAGTCATAGAAGAAGAAGCCCTGGAAATCAGGTGACTACAGGGCAACTACTTCTCAACAAAATGAGAATGAAACTTAACGCTGAAAAACAAAACAAAACAAAACAAAACAAAACAACCTTAGGCATACATGTCCTTATGTACATTGGTCGGATGCCTTAACACTGAAGGCAGGAGCTAAGCCATGTAACAAGGTACTTGTAACTGGTATAATAGCAGACTGAGCTGGTCATTGGTTCAACTCCTGTCGAGAGAACCCAGAGTTTTTTTCTGTGTAGCGTGTGCTATTGACCAGCTATTTGAGAGATTTTGGTTTGGTTTTTTTATTGCCTCTCAGTAATTGACTTTTTGTTTTCTTAAAATCATGTAGGAATGACATGGAGTCAGCTGCTGGCAAGCAAGCTGTGAAGGAGTTTTTCATTCAAATAAGAAAATCTTTCAGTGAAACTGTGAGTTTATTTAATTTAGTAGTAAGATCATTAATTTCCACCTGGACAAGTAACTCAGCCACTGAAGTCTCAGCAAAAACAAACAACTCCTAATATTATTAATTATAATCTTACTATTAGACTAAGTTTTATCCCAAGGGTGTCCATGCTGAAACAATATTTATTTAATCTTAGTTTTTAGCACCAAAATAGCTTTTTTTGAAAATTTATTAACTGTCACAATCAGTGCCAATTACAAAGCCGTAGCTAATAGCAGGTAAACTGAGGCCCTTGCCTCAGTCAATTTTTTGCTACAATAAGTTTTTGTTTTTCTTTTTTGAAGGGGGAAGTAATTAAGTCAGTGCTAGCAATATTAAAATAAACAAACGGACAAATATCATTGCCTCAGTCATAATGTTTTTCTGGCTATGGTCCTGCTTTGACTTGCAGATTGATGTTTACAGAGAAAACCAAATGCTGAGGGCCAATCTCAGGAAGGTAAGCTAAAAGCTGCTATTACGGTAACCACAACCAGAGACTGAATGATACTATAATCGGGTGATAAAAGAAGAAATCAGAAACTATGGACTGTGTTGATTGTTAGACAGCATGGTTTTGGAATCATCTTTATAATAATAATTATAATAATAATATAAAACATACTGGTAGTACCAAGCTTTCCTTAACAAGGAATGTAATGAAAGGGACATATTTTACTAGGATTGTGTGATATTTATGAGCTTATAGCAGTGGTTGAACTTTGTCTTATTAATAAAGTTTATCTTGCAGGCAAAATCAAAAGTAAACAAACTTCGTAAAGATCTCCTTAGTGTGCAGCAAAAGAGATCAAGGTATGTTTTTGTGAAAATCTTGAAACTGTAAAAACCATATTAATATTTTTATAAACCAGGTCTCTTCACAAAATCCCTTTCCAAACTACAACTTATGAAAATACAAGGTGAAGGCAAGTCCAAATTGGTGTAATATAAGCCTTCATTACTCTGTTTGTGCACCACCTTGATTTCAATATTAGGTTCAAAATGCATCTTTCCAGACTTATACCTTGTTATATTATTTCTATAGGATCTCAGCAAAGCTTGAGAGTGAGAAAAGTAACCTTCAGCAAAACAATGAGAGACAAAAGGTAAAGTTTAAAAGTAAATTCCTTAAGTTTGTGGGTCATGAAGCACCTCTCGCAACATGGTCTCACATGAATGGCTTGATACCTTTTGACAGAACAATAGAAAAAGCAGCAGAAACAATGTCCCTAACCCAAAAACAATGACAGCTGCTACACCATGGTGACAAATAAAATTACAAACTTACAAGAGCTGCCACACTACCGAAGTTTGTCCTTAGTGCATACTATAGAAGATATTACATGGCAGTTAGAGGATACAGAGTTTATTTTTGATTAGTAAAAACTTGTTTATGAATAAGGGCATGAATTATTGTTTTGAACATTATGAGGGAATAAAATTCACATCTTCAAGCCAGCTGATGATTCAGAATTGAGAACTCGTCAAAGTTCTGGTGAGCATCAGGTCTAATATTAAAAGCACTGTAAAAACTGAATGACTATACATAGAATAGCCTGCAAACAGGCTGACCTTTGAGAAGAACACTTTCTTGTCTTGTGGCCTTGCCGCTTGATTCAGCGCTCACAGCTAAGCCGCTTGCATTTGTGCTCCCCAAACGTGAGACTGCTTGCAGGCTATGCACAGTGCTTATGAGTTATTAGAGGCAGTGTGGTTTCTCATAATATCTGCCTACAGCTATTTAGTAATATCTTTGATTCCCTACAGTTGCTGGAAGATTTTAGCCTATTTTTAGCCAAGCTTGAGGCATTACAGAAAGAATGCAGAAAAGATTTGTCTTCAAAGAAGGCATCAAAGGTGGTTAGTATCATATAACAATTACCATAATTCTACTGAAAGCACAGTGCACCATATTGAACCTCCAAGTAACAGTACATGATAACCCCTCCCTTGCCCAAAAAATATGTGTAGTGAATGGAAAAAAGGAATATTAATTTTGTCACTTAACATTTTTTGTGTACAGAGTTCACATTGTCTTTTTTTTGTTTTTTGGAATATACAATGTCTGCTTGCAGTGAAGGAGCCTCTTGGTCTGGTTCCTAGGATGGTAACCATTAGGCAGCCAGCCCAAAAATGTGTCCAAGAGCACTGCTATTAAACACTGCCA